CCTTCGACCCTGATGAGGGAACTGGGTTTCTACGCTTATATTCGTTGTATAAGTTTGTAATGAAGCATTTAGATCCCAATCCTGTGGTAATAGACGCCGATGATGTTGTAAAATTTCCTGAAGAAATGATGTTCTCGTTTTGCCGAGCAGTAGGAATTGATTACAAACCAGAGATGAGTCAGTGGGAACTTGGACTTCCAAAGGACTTGGAAGAACATTATAAACTATACCCTGCAGAATATGTATCGGCATGGGCTGGCTATGTTTCAAGTTCATCATGTTTCCACCAAACAAATAAGCACGATTCTAACAACGTACAGTTGCCTGAGGAAATGGAAAAGGTCGTAGAAAAAAGCATGCCTTGTTATGAAGACATGCGAAAGAACCGTATACAAATTTAAACTAGAGGTCACTTATTTAGAATATAGTTACACAAATACAATATGCAGACATCTAAAATAATTCTTAAATTAAATTCTAATCGTATGAGGAAGTAGCTGATCCCATTAAAGAGTGCTCAATACACATATAGTGTAGAGCTAGTTACATATAATATCAAAGAGGCAAGATTTTGCTGTTACTCCGAGTTTCGTGCTACGCACGAACTGTCTGATGAGTGCGTAGCACGAAACTCGGAGTAACAKCAAAATCTTGCCTCTAGTTTGATATTATATATAAATTAAATTCTATAATTGTTTTTATATGAACTACCTTTGATGCTATTAATCTCAGTTTATGCTATTTCCCTTTTTTAATTTCTATTTTAAATGTTTAGTTTAATGTTGTAGATAAAATAAAACAGCTAAAACAGACAGCGTTGTTAATTTTTTCTATGCAATTCAAAAACTTTATTAAAGACATCATTTATAGTGCTTCTTGCATGAAAATGGCCTTATTTCAGGGGGGGAGGTTGTCTCTAGGGCCAATCGCTGTACAGACCTATGTCCTAATATGACGTCACGCGCGATTTCGTGAAGAAGTCCTCGTGTGGAGAATGGCTTCAAAGTGTTTGATCTACAAAATATGCATGTTTTTGGACAAAGTGAACTTCGAACTTAAGAAATAATGYAGAGGAAGTCTCTGAGTATTGTATTTTGGAAAGAAATATATGGAATTTATACTCTACTGTTAAATTTTATGGGAAAGAAGACAGTTAGTCCGAAACAAAATGGCGGAAATTTTCATTGCTCGGAAACATAAATGTGGTGATATTTTGAGATCTACGCAAGAAATCGTCACCAAAGGAGGAAGATTTGTAAAGAGAAGTCGGAGGTTTTTGGAATTGTATACATCAAGCTTGTCGGATCAGTGGAACTTCATATCTTTTGCTTTGAACACCGAGTGTGATGAACATATGGAACCTGGAACGACCTGTGTTGAACTTGTGGTAAGTGTTTTGACATTTGTTGGCTAAGTTAAAACCTGAATGGCAGTTTTGAACGGACACTACTAATAATTATTGATTACTTTGTGAATTTATTTCAACTAGATTTGAGTGTTTAAGCATAGTTGACTCAGAGAAGGTCATAAGCTTAATTCCATTGCAGTTTGGCCACAGGTAGCCCAAACTTATTATCAGAGGACGATGACGTAATGTGTTGAACCGTTGATAATTTTTGAATTTTTAATTAGTTTCAAGGTAGGTTCGTAATGAAGCCTTCCAAAACCACTGAAAACTGTAAATAATTATCAGAAATCTCTCAAAAAGTTAGAATGATCATTAAATAACACGTTGAGYTGACGGAGCGACACTCAGAATGGTCGGTTGGGATGATGGTTTATCTGAAAATCTAGTTTGTTCTGCCTAAGTCACCTTTCACCATCAACTAATGGCTTAAACAGTAAAGTACATGTAACTTGATCATGGTCTTGCTGTCCAATTTGAGAATACTATTAAAAAGATTAATATGAACATTTAGAAGATTGCCAGTCAGTGAAATTTTTCTTTATAGCCCTGTTCGTTGAAATAATTTATGTGTTTCTGAAAATGTGAGACATGACAATTCATAGCAAAGTGGTAAAACAGTTGAGTTAAAGAAATGTAATTAAAATATTATAAGTTGACTGGAAAACAGCTAATTGAAGATGCATGTTCTAACTGTAGGTATGCTTGTGTTCTCCATCTCCCACTGTGTTAATGTTTCCTATTAAGCTCCCTACATAAACTCTTTTGCTTGTTTGAGATTTCTCGAACTATAATGAAATGTCAGGTTAATTGGCCATCCCGTAATTTAAAAGGAGACTGGGAACGAGTATGAAAATTTTACATTCGTCAAAAACTGAACCTCACCACATGAAAGACCACACTAAAATAAGGGTTCTTGACAAGTTTGAACATATTTGGTTGAATACTCACAGAGTAGGAATTTTTTCAAATTTGTAAAAATAAGAGCCAGAATGTATGGTTTTAGGGTCACGCTGCGCAAAACCTCCATACATTCTTTGTAATTTTTTCGAGTTTTAAATGCTTGAAACTCTGTAATTATTAATCRGAACACTCTCAAACTCAGCAGCTGTACTAATGTTAGTATGCTCTTTCTTRTCCTGGTGTCTGATGCTGTTTGATTGCTTCAAATGGTATCTATTTAGTGAATAGTCACCAGTCCCTTTTTGAATTTCGGAAAGGGCAATGGTAAAAAAGTTTGACCAGTCTATACTGCAATTAAATTTATTAATTACATATCCACTTTTTAATCGTAAAGTAACAGTAATACCAAAATAAATGTTTTTTTTCTGTTTTTTTAATCATATCACAGGGACCCCATTTAACAAGTGATAAGTGTTTCAAATCACTTTGCTTCCTTTTTTTCTGGTTCAACCACAGTATTTCCTTTTTCCAACTCTGCTTTTGTGAATTTTCTTTGAACCACTTTTTCATTATTTTTTTTCCAGCTTTTTGTAAGATCATTACAGCTTGCTTATTCATAAGAAACTGACAACTATGTGCATTG